AGCACACAGTTGTCACATATAAGATATACCTCATTGGTGTTACTCCTAAATCAAGATATTCCACTTGAGTGTCAAAATAGAGGAGTCAGGTTGTGCTGAGGTTTCGGGGCCATGTGATGCACTGAATGCACAGCTAATGCAAAATGCCTGTCCAGTATATGTGTATGCATGCATTGTATTTTTTAAATATGTGTGTGCCTGTGTACAACCAGCACAAGTGGTGCATGAGGGCTGGCAGTGGACACATACTTCACACCCCAGATGGACCAGGAAGTAGTTGACAGCTCTCAGTGCCCTGGCCTGCCGCTAATTTCTCCACTTCCTTCCTGCTAGCCTAGCTTAGCATCAATCACCTCTCTCCACTTGCAGCGCTAGTGCAAACCAATTTCCTTAATGCTGATTGCACTGTAAACCAACTCTCCTCACCCGCTCTGGCTCTTGTTCCGTTTTAGTCGTCCATTCTTTCTGTCTTCCCTTCCACAGCTTCCTCTTGTCTTGACAAAGCAATGATTCAACTCCTAAAAGCTGCTTAGCTGGAATAGACGACTGAAAAACGTCTGCCATAGATTCTGCTTCTATTTTTAAGATTTGCACCCATTGCTGCAGTGCGTGTCGATATCTTGTAATGTTCAGCTATAAACTTAATCTTTTTTTTTAATTTAGAAATATGTTTTAGTTGACCTCCTCCTACTTGACAAGAGTGTGTATCATACACAATCTCTAAATCAGATCCAGAAGATTTTCATTGGCATTGCATGACTATCTATCTGTGTTGAAAGCAGAGCGCTCAGTGAACCGGTGAGAGGGTTGCTTCCCGCTGAGGCATGAGAAATTCCCTAAATGTTTCTCGAGTTTTGTAGTCATCAACTCAAGAGGAGGCTAGCTATTTCTCACCTTCGCTGAATCTGTACACCCAGACCTCATGTGAGGTCGGGAACTGTGCCAGAGGCCCAGTGCATGTGTGTTTACATGTGCCTGTGTGTGCTCATGCTGCCTTTTAACTCCAAGGCAAAGGAAGTGAGGTCCCCACTCTGAGACGGACATGATTCTTCCCACTACAGCAACATAAGTGATGACAAGTAAAAACCAGACCACATTTTAAATGTCCCTTAATGCTTTTCAAATTATGGTATTGGCATCATGTAGGCCGCACATTATAACTACGATTTTGTCAGTACCGCAAGTAAACGAAAGTGTATCTCACCGTGAGTTTATTACGGCCCGAACACAGCAGCTATCGGTCCTCACCTCATCAATGTCATTCCAGCCAATTATGGGATCTATAGCGCCAGAATTCTCTGCCACCACATCCTTTCACATAGCATGGCCCTCTGACCGACTGAGGGAGAATTAAAGGATACTTTAAATGCATGCTATGTCAGCTGTCATTTATAATGGGATTACTGGCTGTCTTGCCTTAAGGTAAATTTGTGTTCGACAAATTGTTTACAAATTTGGACAAATCTTGACATTCCAATGCAAACCTGCTTGAAGTGTAACTAAAAATACAAAAGCTATTATTTAGCTAGCGATACAGTTTTCCAAAGAAAGTTAAAGAACATCTAACAAAAAAAACATATAATTAAACATCTAAACAAATTAAATAAAAAATAATAATGAAAGCAATAATATTGCATGTGAAATCTGTTAACCCATGAGTATAAGATGACATATTGACGGATGTTGCTCAGAATGAAAATCTACCAAATGAAGGTTAGAAAATACAAAACGTTTTTCAAATGTGTTGGGCTGAATTTCCCTAAACACTCCACCATGCTCCTCTGACTTTATATGCTCTGGTTTGTCTGCTTTTGCTTCCTCTCTCTGGGTGTGTGTGAAACTTTTGCAATCCAGTGGCAGATCTTTCCCAGTGGAGAGATTGATGAAGTGCAGTGGCCTGGGGGCCAAGGGAGAAATAGTCCCCTGCTGGGACTTCTCTCTGGCCCACTGAGCACAACACAGCCACACAGGATGCATCACTCAATCTGCTGCTGGCACACACACTCACAGAGAGGCTCTGCGCTGGACAACATAAGGGCTGGACGGCTCGGAAGAAATCGTAGCTGCATTTACTCTTGTTCTAATGGCTGGTACAGAGCGGTTCATGTTTCAGCCTTGCTCCAGGGCCCACCACTGACATGCTGCTACATTATGTTAGCCTGTGTTTTATTTGGCTCTGTTTGGCATAGTGTAGTGGGATAGGAAGCGAGGGGGGCTACAATTGAGGGCCACTCCAACAAAAAGAGTAGAAGGCTGATGCCTGGTGTGCCTTGCTGCACACAAACTCCTGTGTTATGTGCAGTCCGAGCCACAGAAGGAGCAATTTTGTCACTATGTTTGCGTGTCTGATGGGATGTGCAGTGTAAATGTCAACAGGTTCAGCTTCCAAAATCATCTGGGGTGTATAGTCTCCATTGTATACTGTGTCTGTGCATGTAATGTATAAGTGTTTAGGGGAGGGGGGCACAAATGCTGCACAATGTTGTGTGGCATGCGCGTCACATCAGGCTGATGGATGGCTCAGATTGCCGTGACCAAGATGCCCTAGCTCCCTATGCACAGCCACCAGTATGAGCAGTGCTTACGCAGCCACTGACACTGACTTGTCTGGGACCGCCTGGACTGGCGACAGAGTCTGAGAGATTCCCGGAGAAAGCCCCTGGTGCATACACATGCTTGCATGCTGACACACAAGCATGAAAAGTGGGGGTTGGGTTGCCCTGACAAATTACCCACATCCCCGACACTCCGGTGTCTCAGCATGGGGGAGACTCGATGGCCTGGTAGGATAAGTGTAAGGTCACAGAATTGAGTGGAGAGGGCACCCAAAACCCTTGCTTTCTCTACGTAAGGCAAAAAGGAGGAGGAGGAGGAGTTCTTGGGGCCAGGAGGCATACATTTATTTCAAGACGTTTTATCCAATCTATCACCACAACCTGTGCTCGTTGGCGTGAGGGGCACAGAGACTCGGCACTGAGTATGTGAGAGGTGTGCATGTTTATGTGTGTGTGGGCATGCATGTGCGGAGCAGCGAAGGCAGGCGTTCCAGACTGCAGGGAGAGGATTAGGAGTGTGGAATGCAAGACACTCCTTGACCCCAGTGTGACCTTTGAGGCTAAATCCCTTGCCCATATCTGTCCCTCATGGGTCATGATCCAATTGGTAGCCCCTTCAGAATGCTGACCTCTCATGCACCTCGTCACACAGTCTGCTTGAAACATCTCCATTCACTGACAGTGGGGCCTAATCCAGCCTGCTAGGATAACAACTGGAGGAGTCTAGTTGTAGGACAGCTCCTCACTGTACGAGAATAACATTTCAAAGCTGAAATTCAGAGACATTTTCGTTAATGCAAGCCTACTTAAGGAAATGAAAGAAATATATCACTCTTGTTCTGCCTTTCAAGTGTCCATGTACACCTGAAACATAAATGAAGCGTTTCCCCTTTTCCTACTTTTGAGGCCTGTATGCCTTTCCATTTGCGAGCGTGTCGACCAAGAATGACGTTAATGGAGGTGGAGAGGAACGAACACATCAGAACGGCGGGTGAGTGGCAGTGACACTGAGCAGCAGCAAAGAGCTGGGTGGCAGGCAATCAGAGAGGCTCTCTTTCTCTTTCACTTCAGTCCCACATGACATGGCTGACTAGATAGATGAGAGACAGATGGGTGCCCCGCTCGCTACTGAGGCCCCCTGAATAAAATATCATACTTCTGATTCATTCATATTTCATCCTCATAGAGAAAAGCATTATTTTTTTTAGATGCCATTGAGATGGCATCTGTTGTTGATCCAGATTAATTCATTGAATTGTCTGTTTATCAATGATTATTGATTTAATAATAGACTGGAACGCTGAAGTTATTGAATTATTATAGTCACTCAATTATTTCTTTTGAAACAAAGATGACAATAAATAAATGGTATGCAAGTGCAGAAATGACAAAAACTCACTTATGTTATTATACAATAGCATTACAATATGCTAGGAAGTGCAATGGTTTTCTGTAATGTTGTGTTGGTCAAACTTGTTTGAGATATCAGGAAAAACACAATCACTGTCTTGCCAAGAGGTAGATAAGAAAATCGATGCCACTCTGTTCACTTAATATGACGGTACAGCTACTGTCGTGGCTGTATGTCGTGGCTCAGGTACAGTGACTTCCTGGAGTCTTATCATCATTGCAGCGAGGACTCTAGGAAGTCATTGCACCTGGCCAGGAAATAGTCCCATTCATACCTCAGTAAAACTCCGAAATTGTTTTTGTACAGAGCTATTTTCCCCTCTCTCCAGTCTTAATGCTAAGTTAAGCTAACCGGCTGTTGGCTGTGTCAAAAATGTCAAACTATTTCTTTAACGGCATTAAAATGCCTTACCTCATTTTTTTTTTTCCCAATTTTCTGTCGCTGTCTCTCTGCTTTGTGGCATGATGCTGCGAACAGACTCATGATTGCAAGGAACATACGTATGTCCCCTGTTTTTCCACTGGTGAACAAAGACAAGATTTTGTGGAGCCAAAAGAAATACTTCTACTATCCACAAAACAATGCTCACATCATGGTCACCTGCCGACAGTTGTGATGTTTCCACATTACTTGATTCAGAAAATGTCGAGAATCCACTGCTCATGTTAGGGTTATCTGGAGTTAAATGGACGTACAATTGAATTGGAAGGAGACGAAAATAGAGATTTAGGGTAATGGAGAGTGACATGGTCGATGGTTACGTCAGGCACCTGTTATGGAGCTGTGGAAGTAAGGTAAAGGAATCGAAGAGGTGGTAGAAGCTCCTCAATAACTTCGGTTGAAGTTATGAATCCTATGTGTAAATTAATAATGCTGTTATGGAAGAACAATCGGCACAATAATTAGATTTGCTCTATTGCATTGTGTTGTCGTGACTTTATAGCTGTGTGAATCCGAACCTGTTTGTGCAAATGAACACACATGATTGCGTCGTCTCCAGTTTAAGGCTGCGTCTCTGTGCATCTGTCTCACAGGAGCAAAGAAGCAGCTGTGAGGAGCCTGGAAGGTCCCCCAACTCTGCCCCTCACCTGTGTCACGTCTGCCTGCCAGTGCCATCAAGGTGCGTCAATCTTCCACTGTGGCATCTCTTTACCTGTGGCACTATGCTGCACCTTTCTGGCTCGCACGCCGCTACCCTCCCCCATCCCTCCCACCTTGTGTTGCTCAAGGCATCTGTCACTCACCTGTCATTTCTTTCATCAACTCCTGCCTTCCTCCTACCTTCTTGTGCCGGCCCCGGCGAAGGCGGGAAAGGAACCATTGGAGTGAAAAAAGGTGACCACTTTGCCCCAGTTTCGGGTTTAGCAGCTGTAAAGGATGAGGTGTTGACTGACAGTGGCATCGCACTAAACCAGGTTTCTCTAGGAAGGCACAAGAGTTTGGAGAATTTACCAGTTAAATATTCAACACACCTTCCATCTTTAACAGAAATCCATAGGTTTGTATTGCATTATTATATCTAGTATGATAGAATGCTAAAGATTAAGTAGTAAGGTCTACACTGACGTTCCTTATACTGTCCTGTATTTAAGTTATAGTTACTTTAGTATATCTCCTCCACCAGACATTTACCAATACATTTATTGTACTTGACGAGAGGGAAAAAGGGGTTAAAGATGATGATAATGACGTCTGTGAGATGTGGGTTTCAAAAGCTTCAGAAAAGCTAGAACCTTTAAGATTTAAATAATTATAATAATAGTAATACAAATATTGTGAGGACCTATTTTTTCAACAAAAGTAAAACAAGAGGAATAAATCAGCTAAAATGTTCTCTCACAGTAAATAATATTTGTGTTTCATGGAAACGGAACCCCGTTGAAAATGATGATGTGTCATTCATTACCCCACCTGTTTCCAGTCATGTCTCTTGCACATAAACCTTTCACGGTGAGAAAACATATTTCGGTCTTGTTTTCCTGAGCATAAAGGAGGATATCATTCAGTATCTTTCCATAATTTCAGGAGACCAAGCAACACACACAGGTACTTACACACACATTTATTCATTTGTGGTAGCTGTAAACGCACACCGTAGGTTTCGTAAATTTGTTGGTGGTCTGGGGCTCTACTCCGAGGAAAATTATAAAAGCAATGCTACTCCTCAAGGTTAAAATGTCAGGAGCTACACATTTGCCTTCACTACACCTACCACACAAGTGAATTCTAATATATTGACAACCTTGTTCAAATTCCAGTCTTGCGTATGGAAAGACCCCACAGGTGAATCCATGATGGATTAGCTTCACTGAAGACTAACATGTCTTGAGGCAAAGAGAAGGAGGGGATAGTTACTTCCTCACATAAGGTTTTTTTTTTTTTCCTTTGGAAAAAGTGTCTCTGACCCTCTCAGCGCGCCAAGTCTCCCATGAGCCGGGGAGAAGCTATTCCAGCTATCAGTGGCCAGACCTCTCGTGAGTACTGTCTGAAATATTGCGCAAATAACGATCAAAGCGGCTCCCTGCTCTGGCTGGACCCAGACAGTAAATCCAGACTTGTGAGGGCCAGACAGTGATTTTGTTTCACATTTCCTCCCAAGACCCAGGCACATGCAAGGAAGAAGAGAATAAAACAGATAAAAAGAGCCCTTGGCTGTGGCCCAAACTCTGGCCATATCAGTTAGGCTTTGCTGCCACGTGGCATATGGTACAAGACAAACTGTCAGCCTTTTTCCCTCCTGTCTGTGCTTGCTTGGAGATGACAGGAGCAAGAGCATGTTTGTGTCCCGGCAGCAGGCATCAGGCAGGCTTAGCAGTGATTTGGGGGGAAAAGGGGTGAAAGGCAGAGCATCTTGCTGTGGCGAGCAGTGATGCGTCTGCATGGCTGGGCGTGGGGGGCCACACAGTAGCTGTGGGGGACAGCGCAGTGGCTGCGATTGTGAGGAAACTGCAAATTGATCAAATTGTAGAGGCAAGACTTTAGGCCTATTATCTGGGTCATGTCAATGTCTCTCTGGTCTCTAGTTGGTCACAGGGGCAAGTAGAGTCTGTGTATGTTTGTGTGTAAGGAATCTAAGCTTTAAGAGCCAGAATACAATTTCTGTACGTTTGTCTAGTCAAACCTTCATGCACATGTTGTTTGCACCATGCCTATGCAGCAAATAGATCTAACAAACACAATCTCTATTAGCAGCAGGGTGAGACTTCCCAACACTTTGTTGTGAAGGTGAATCTGAGGTCAAGTCCTGCAGATCACCCATCTTAAGAAATTACAGATTCGTATTTATCTAACGCTGAAGATCTTCTGATTATTTACGAAGTTTTCATTGCTGGATACAGAATCTAAAAGTGGGTGAGTAAAATTGAAGCAGGGTTTTTCATATATGCAATCTGACATCCACGAGTCACATTGTTCCCCTATCAGCAGTGATCACGGAGCCAGCCCTCTATCGGAGTTGACTTCAGCAGAGCATATCGTGGCTATTAGCCTAGCATGGTGCGTGATCTCCGTCTTATCTTGTTGCTGAGGGTGCTGTCCTGTGCAGGGCGGGGGACACATGAATGAGGGAGGGCGGCGTTGTCACTTGTCACCACGCTTCTGTCATAGTCCACGGAGTTTCGATGGCTCCCTCCGGTCCCTTGTCACTCCGCCTGGCTGGAAACAGCTGGTTACCAGAGCCAGTGCCACGCTAGTTAACATGGAAGGGTGAATGGTACATGCTGGTATCTAGTCCAGTACTGGGAGCAGCTTAGGCATTACACCAGTTTCTTTTATATCTCTTTTTCACGCCATCATTATTTGTAATGTATGTGTGTATCTTTTCGGCTGTATGTTCATAGCAGCTAATGTCAAACAGGTTTGATGAAAGTAGCTCCGGGCTCCAGCGACCACACAGCCCAATTCCTTGTAAATCAGCAGTGCTGATATTAGCTGTTGAAGGCTAAATGGCCATTATGGATCCTCAACACTCTGACACGTTGTGACCTGCCTCCTCTGGTGAGGTATGTGGCGCTGTGTGTGGGAAACACATACACACATATACATGCAAAGTCGCTCACTCCTCTGTGTGTGGGCCGTGTTTGCCACCACTTACTGACAGGTCAGACTCCCATGGTGTGATCAAACAGCAGCCACAACTCTCTAGAGTTCCCACAACACTCCGCCTGGTGGAGAGTGGACAATAAAAACAAGAGTGGTGGGCTTTCATCACAGGCTTTACCAAAGCCTGGCCTATTCTTGCTCACTTGTTTGGCCTAACTTTGTAAAGGTCAACTCCAAAAATGTAAACTAACTGTAGCTGTGTGCTGGGAGTCGCTCCAAACGGCATATACAGTAGATACTGTACCTGTTTTAGGACACCCAAAATAGCATTATTAGTCTATTCACAGGAAAATTGTGCAAACGTTAAGTACTGTAGGTCAAAGTTAAACTAGAGGGTCAGTCTGTAAACTGTGATGAATGTTTAAGAATTACATTTTGGGTAATCAAAGTTTGTTGCTGTTGAAAAAAAGTAGTCCCTTGGTTTGGGGTCGAGTTGCGGTTGTTGCTGTTGTGTGCTATGCACCTTTACCATTAGGTTACCAAGGTGTAATCATTTTAATGCTAACAATAGCTTTCCACATAAAGTAGACTGACCTAGAAGTCTGTTTGTAACTTAATTTAATTGCTTCATCAGACTTGTTTTTTTAGAGATTTTGCCACGTTCTCAGATCTTAGCAATTCACTTGGTGAGTGTTTGGTGATATTTACAGCACCAATAGTATGAAAATCAGACCCAGGTTCTATGAAACCTTTAATCAGCGTTTCTGCTGCAGTCTCTCTGATACAAACCTTCTTTGGAACCAGGTACTTGGATCATGACGACAGTACTTTGTTGTCTTCAGGGGACAGATTTATTCCGACTTGTGCAAACAGCGGTGATTATAAAACTTCAGGCTAAACAGGCTGACGGCCAGTCAGCCAAGAATTATTGTAGTAAGGAGGGGGCCCTATCTGTAGCGCTATCAGTCCCAGCCCCTGTCCTCCACTAATGGAATTGTCCTCCACCCCAGGCTGTGTATTACCATAGATCTGTGGGATAGTTTCACTCCAGCAGGAGAGTCCAGTGATTTAATAAAGGGTCCCTTTCTGACTCACTTACAACACAACAACATCGAGACCGGCAAGTTCAGACATATAGCAAATAAATAAACAGAGACTTCCTTAGGATGTGCAACTCAATCGGTCGGTCTGTCTGTGTGTGTGTGTCTGTCTATGACCAGGCTGATTATTCAAAAGAGCTGTACCTTTTAGTCTACTACAGAAGAAACCACAAATGACAAGTAGTTCATGGTGTATGAGTGTCGTCAGTCCTCAACCTACACTGAATGATTTCTGTCATTCAAAGCAAAGGGCCTGTTCAGACATTACATACGATTTAATGAGTTTCAGATTATGTTTTAGTTTCAGTTGTTGTTTTAAAGCATGGTAGATTTAGAATTTTGTTTGTATTACACTGAATAGGAAATATCTAAAAACACTTTTTTGTTATTAACCATTTTAAAGTTGATCTTGTATGCATTATCTGCCATGTATGTGGCCCTACAGCCTCTATAAATACATCCCTGGTGTATAGAAACACTTTTCTAAGTCTTTTTCTGACTTTGTGTTCAGCTGGCTGACTGCCAAGGGTGAGTGACAACTAACAAAACAATAGGCTACAGACAATGACATAATGCAATTTAATCCTTTCCACTTGGAATCGATTGTTACACCTTAGGGTGCAACTTTTTGAGATTATGTTGCTTTATCCAGGAGTTTAATATATTGTTTTTGAGGAAGCAGCACATTTTTGCTCATTCTCTCATTGACTCCAACCAAGCAGTAACCACAATCTGGCTGTCAGCAGAATTTGGACTGCATTTGGAAGACTTTATTTCATCAGTGGTGTGAAGGGTATGGATTGTCTTGGATTTTAGAATCAATTACTTTCTTCTGTCTACATTGCCTTAAGACATTATTCACATTTCCCAGCAGTCTAGTGAGAATTAATCTACTAATCTATCCCCATGTCCCCAATCTAATCCCCATGTTGTTCGAAAATTCCACTCCCTTCAATATATAAGCATGGTATCATATTAA